GAACAGTTGGGAGTCACGTCTCGTTGGGCGGGTTCTGTTGAGGTAGAACAGGAGTGCCCTTTTGACATCCAAGGTATGTAACAGTTTCTCCTCTGGGGATTTCGGAGCTGAGAAGTAATCCGGGAGGAAGACCTCTGCCTGTAGGTGGAACTCTGACACTACCTTTGGCAGGAACAAAATATCAGGGACGAGGCAGACGCCATCTGGCAAGAATGACAAATAAGGCGTGTCATGCTGGAAAGCCAGTATTTCTCCAACTCGCCTTGCAGAGGTGATGGCCACCAGAAAGGCCGTCTTCCATGACAGGAATTTCAGTTCGCAAGTTGCGAGTGGCTCAAAGGGTTTCCTCGTGAGTTGACGAAGGACTAGAGGAAGATCCCAGGGAACGACAGGAGTTTTGACAGGAGGGTAGAGATGTAACAAACCTTTTTAAAAACGTTTCGAAAGCGGATGTGAAAACATGGTGCATTTGTCGACATGAACATGGTAGGCCGAAATTGCGGCCAAATAAACTTTTAACGATGAATGGGAAAGTCCTGAGCCAGCGAGGGACAGAAGGAATTGGAAAACTTTCTCGAGGCCTGCGGAGGAGGCTCGAGGGGCATCATCACCTAGGGAAGAACAGACTCACTGCCATTTATAATGGTAGGACCTTCACGTAGCAGGTTTCCTGGCGTTCAGTAGAACATTGGCTATGCGGGTCGAAAAACCTTTGACGTTATTCTCCACGCCGTCAATTTCAAGCGTGGTACGTCGTGATGTAGGAGAGGGGAGTCTGACAGGAAGAAGAGGTCCTGTACCAGAGAGAATTGGTGGTATATTCCCTCTGACAACTCGAGGACTGTTGAGAACCATGGTTGTCTCGGCCACCACGGTGTTATCAACATGCAGTTCACTCCGTCGCAGATGATCATGCGTACCACTCTCAGAAGCAGGGGTAAGGGAGGGAAAAGGTACAGAAGGCCTGTGGATCAGGAAAGAAGGAGACCGTCTCCGAGCGATTGTGAGTCCCTGCCGCCTCGACTGTAGAATAGGGGACATTTTTTGTTGGCTCTGGTGGCGAAAACATCGACTTGGGGAGTTCCCCACCCGTAGAAGGGCCGGAAAAGATAGGACGGGTTCATCTCCCACTCGTGGAGACTAAGTCTTGCTCGCCTGGGATGTGTGTGGCTACCAAAAAAATGTCGTGGGCGTGGGCGATACAAAAGTCCGATAACTGAATGGCGAGGTTGCAGAGATGTAGGGAGACCATGCCTCCTTGTTTGTTTATATAACTGAACGTGGTGGTATTGTCTGTGAGGACCATAATACATTTCCCTTTGATTATTGGTAGGAAACTCGTGACTGCGAACTGAATTGCGAGCAGTTCCAGGAAGTTTATGTGTCGACTTTGCTCGTGGGTGTTCCACTTGCCCCTGATGCACAGACCCATCATGTGTGCACCCCATCCTGACAGGGAAGCATCCATGGTCAGGGTGATTTGGGGTGACGAAGGGTGGAAGGGTGCTCCCTGGAAGATATTGGAAGGGACAGTCCACCAAAGTAATGAGTCTCATATGTTGGGAGGGGGGAATAGGACAACAGTGTGAGCGTTGTTCGCTGGGTTGTAATTCTGGATGAACCACAGTTGTAAACAACACATTTTCAGTTTGGCAAAGACGAGAACTGACGTAGTTTTAGCCATAAGGCCAAGTAGCCTTTGGATTTGGAAGGCAGTGACAGAAGGGTGGGTACGGATGACGGTGGCTAAGGAAATGATGTCTGCCACTCTGTCTTGAGGCAGGTAAGCCATGCATGTCGTGGAGTCTAGTATAGCGCCGATGTACTTTATTCTTTGGACTGGACTCAATTGAGACTTTTCTCGATTGGCTTGTAGGCCCAGATTTTCCAATAGTGCCAGTGTCTCGGTGATGTTTGAGACCAGGGCGTTCTGGGAAGGCGCTACCAAAAGCCAATCGTCGATATAGGGGTAGATGGAAATACCCCGGAGACGGAGGAAAGCTGCAACCACAATCATAGTCTTTGTGAAGACTCTTGGGGCGCTGGACAGGCTGAATGGTAGGGCTGCGTACTGGTAATGCTGTTGACCAATCGCGAAGCGTAGGTATTGGACGCTACCAAAAGCCAATCGTCGATATAGGGGTAGATGGAAATACCCCGGAGACGGAGGAAAGCTGCAACCACAATCATAGTCTTTGTGAAGACTCTTGGGGCGCTGGACAGGCTGAATGGTAGGGCTGCGTACTGGTAATGCTGTTGACCAATCGCGAAGTGTAGGTATTGGCGGTGGGATGGATGGAT